TACATCTCTTTTACGTCACCTCTCTATCTATCTATCTCTCTCTCTCTCTCACTCTCTCTCTCTCTCTCACTCTTACATCTGTTTTACTCTCTCTTCTTATGACATTTATTTTCTCCTCTTTATATATTACTTTTCTCTCTTTGATTTTCCTCTCTCACTATCTCTCTCTCTTTCTTGCTCTTTCTTTGGCATCTAGTGATCTCTTTTCTCTCTATATATTTCACTGACATCTCTTTTATGCCGCCTCTCTCTATCGCTCTCCTTCATTCTTATATACCTCTCTCTTTATGACACTTATTTTCTCCTCTTAGTATATCTCTAGATTTCTTTCTCCCTGACGTCTCTTTTTCTTCCTACTCCCGCTTTCTGACATTTATTTTTCTCCTCTCTCGATATCGCTTTTCACTCACACACATTCCCCCCTCTCTCTCTCTCTCTCTCTCTCTCTCTCTCTCTCTCTCTTTCTCTCTGATATTGATATATTTCTTTGTTACATTCATACCCTTCTATTACTCAACCGCACACATTCTCTCTCTCTCTCTCTCTCTCTCTCTCTATATATATATATATATATATATATATATATATATATAATTTTTAGCAGCTCTTCTACTCCTACTCGTTGTCTCGCCTCAGTCTCTCTTCTCTCTCAGATTTATTTCTCAATATGTTTTCTTTCTTTTCTCTTTCCATTTTCATCCACCAACATTCTCCTGTCAAATTATTCCTTGTCCACCTCCCACGTTCGTGTTTAAATCTGTATTTTTCCTCCGCCTTTCAACCTTTTATTCGTTATTTCTTCTGTATAAACCAATTGTGTTAGGTGGCCCCAAATATAAAAATGCAAAGGATTGAGGTTGGCAGGCACATGCAGGCCATTGAACCCGTCCTTCCCTACCTATCCATCTTTCATTGTAGATGTCAGCCAGTGCATCACAAATAATGTAACTGCTATATACTGGAGCCCAATAATGCATGAATCACATGCGTCTTCACATTAGCAGGTGTACATCCTCTAGCAGGTCTAGAATTGTGTAAACAGATCCTATAAGACGTACTTGGAGAACATATGTTTCTATTAGACCGTCACCTACAATTCCAGTCCACACATTAATCCCGAAAAGATGCTAGTATCTAGCCTGTATTTTACCATGGGAATTCCGATCCAAACACAAATGTTGGTTGTGTAAATTGTTATTCCATCTCTTCCAAATGTTGCCTCATCCGTAAAAAAAGACTGAAGAGACAAACAACAGAGCGTTAGTCTGTGTAATAAATCATTGGCAAAAGTTAAGCCATGGTGAGTGATCAGAGGGCAAAAGACCCAGAACACGTTGCAAATGATACGGATAGAGAAGCTTCCATGGTGAGTGATCAGAGGGCGAAAGACCCAGAACACGTTGCAAATGATAGAGAAGCTGCCGGTGAGATCAGAACAAGGCATGAACAGAATGCAGCACCCTAGATCAAATCTGTATATGACACAGCGCGCGACATAAGGCTTACACATAAAACAACCTGGAAGACCAGGAGACCAAGCATGAACACAATGCGTCCCGCGTGACTGCACAGGATGGTTCGCAGGCGGTTTTCAAAATACTGAATATGTGTTTATTATAATAAATTTGGTGACTGAACACTTCCGTGGCAGCATAACTTTATTCAACCAATATTTCACTGTCTTTTTGTCTAATTAATCCCTTTACATATCTCTAGAAAACGAAAAATTAATACTCTCCTATCCCTATATACCTGTTTCTATCCTTGACACGAGGAAAATCCTATTCATTGGTTTCATCCAGACTAGATCCGAAACAAATTTGCACTTGCAACACTGTAAACAAAAAAAGTTGAAAAACACGCGAAAGTAATGGAAATAGGTGGTTAGGTAAGTATCAGGCCATCCCATAAGTTCTGTCCGAATTTTACCTTTTTTTTTAAATGAACAAAATTTAAAGAATATTTTTTAAAAAAATAAAGAGTATTGTATAATGTCTAATGGAGCTGAACATTATTTTTATTTTTAGATGCATTTAAACTGATCAAATTTTATTTCAGAGAACAATAAAATTAAATTTTGTTTGATTAAAACCCTGCTAATATGCAAGTACCCAAGAATCATTTGAGGCACATAATGCTTTATGTTGAAACTTGAATAAAGCATGGAATAATAATAATACAACACAAAATGTACTTAAACAACATGTATTGACACAAGAACGTGTACACAATATTTACAGATAGTTTGGTATATTCTTGGGAAGACCGTTCCTGTAGAATGGGTTGACTTGGTCGCAGTCAGGCAGAGTCTCTGGATTGGATCTCTTCTTCCTCCCCCGTCTTCCCGGTACCAACCCATATTTATATGGTCGGTACTCCACTATGTAAATTAGGTGGATCGCCCCAAAACACTTTATGAGTTCAAGGAAGGAAACTCAGCGGCCGAAGCGGCTAGAAACATTCACTCAGTTTATGGAGAGGAATGTGTGAATGAAAAAACTTGCAGAAGATGCTTGGCAAAATTCAGAGGTGGAGATTTTACCATTGAAGATGAAGATCGAACCGGACGTCCAGTTGAGTTTGATGAAAATCTTCTTGAAGCAGCCCTTGAAGAAAATCCTGCTTTATCAGTTGAGGAATTGGCAGTGGTTCTCAGTTAAAACCTTACAACTGTTCATCGTCATCTTCAACAACTTGGAAAAGTTCCTAAATAGGTGCCTCATGAATTGTCTGAAAACAACCTCAAATCCCGAGTTGACATCTCTTCTCTCCATTCTCGCCAACTTGTTTCACCTTTTTTGGATAGACTTGTGACTGGCGACGAAAAATGGATCTTTTATCGAAAAGTTAAGCGTCGTAGACAGTGGCTTGGTAAAGGGGAAGGACCCCAGCCACTGCCGAGAAGGGAATTTCATGGGCAAAATGTTCTTTCAATCTGGTGGGATCGCCAAGGAATAATCCACTTTGAATTCTTACCACCTAATGCAACAATTAATGCTCAAATATACTGTCAACAATTAGAGCGTTTGAACCAAGCTTTGAGGAAAAAAAAGACCTGCTCTAGTGAATCGAAAAGGGTGATGTTTCATCAGGACAATGCGCGACCCCACACAGCAAGAATCACGTCACAAAAGATCGAAGAACTTGGTTGGGAGAAAATTCCTCATCCACCTTATTCTCCTGATCTTGCTCCTTCAGACTACCATTTGTTTCGTAGCTTACAGAATCATTTGGAAGAAACAGCTTTTGTAACACAGGAAGAGGTTAAAACTGACAATTGTGAGTTCTTCGAATCAAAGCCAAAAGAATTTTACAGTAATGGAATTAGTAAGCTTGTTAATAGATGGAAGAAAGTCATAGATAATCAGGGAAAATACATTGTTGATTGGATCTGTAATTAAGTATAACATTTGGCCACTTGTTTTCTTTATTTAAAATTCGGACAGAACTTATGGGATGACCTGATAGTTGGCGGGAAGGCCGAGAAAACAGACTTCACATTTCGATGCTACTCGTCAGGAGGATAGAAGACTAAAAAAGGTTTTCATCTTTTACAACTCTTCTTGTTGAGGCATAACCAATCTTTAAAAACATATTACGGTATTTCGCTGCTAAGACATTCTGATTCATTAGGCGCCCCTAAATACCTGTCGAAAGAAGGAATCAGAAAAAAGTTGTCTCCTTCCTTTTATTCATAGCCCTCCCTACTATCCCCAATCTTACGCAATGAAGAGCATATTTCAGGATGCAAATATGACTAATCATGAGAAATTCGTCACAGACTGAGAAATACCAAATCTATGGTAACTATTTACAGTGTAATAAGAGGATCTCGGGGCGAATACTGAAGGCATCGTTGTCAATGACTTATAAACAAAAATGTCTGCTTCAGCTGTTGGCGGGCGACTGCATTTGCACGGCAATATTTGACACTGTTAGGTACCGTAAGAAGGGTTACTTAATCAAGAGAAAATACCTATCAGGTGCAGTAACAAAAGCAGTAATAGTATTCTTAAATTGTTTACCATAAATGATGCTGCTCTGTGGTCAGTAGTTTAGGAAGGAAGGAACGAAGAAAGAAAGGAATGAACGAACGAACGAAAGAAAGGAGGGACGAACGAAAGGAGGGAACGAACGAAAGGAAGGAAGGAAGGAACGAACGAACGAACGAAAGAAGGGGGGCACGAACGAAAGGAAGGAAGGAAGGGAGGGACGAACGAAAGGAAGGAAGGGAGGGACGAACGAAAGGAAGGAAGGGAGGAAGGAACGAAAGAAAGGAAGGAAGGGACGGACGAACGAAAGGAAGGAAGGAAGAAAGGAACGAACGAACGTAAGAAGGGAGGGACGAACGAAAGGAAGGAAGGAAGGGAGGAACGAACGAACGTAAGAAGGGACCGACGAACGAAAGGAAGGAAGGAAGGAAGGAAGGAAGGAAGGAAGGGAGGGACGAATGAAAGGAAGGAAGGAAGGAACAAAGGAAAGAAGAAAGGGACGAACGAAAGAAAGGAAGGAAGAAAGGAAGGAAAGAACGAACGAACGATGGATGGATGGAAGGAAGGAAGGAAGGAAGGAAGGAAGGAAGGAAGGAAGGAGGAACAAAGGAAAGAAGGAAGGGAGCGACGAACGAAAGAAAGGAAGGGAGAAAGGAAGGAAAGAACGAACGAACGATGGAAGGAAGGAAGGAAGGAAGGAAGGAAGGAAGGAAGGAACAATGGATGGATGGAAGGATGGAAGGAAAGAAGGAAGGAAAGAAGGATGGTGTTTCTTAAGCAGGTGTTACTATAACATGAATTTCTTTTCCTGCTATAGTAACATCAGTATCACAATTGCATAAATAACTTCCCTGAAAACGTTGTTAATTTAATTTTGAAACATTGGAATTGTTTTACATTCAATCGCTCGAAGTCGGATGTAACTGGGGAACTGACACTCACCCTATACGACAAAATTCTAACCGTCGTCACTGACTTTCGACTTTGGAGATATTTTATAGGAAAGAAATGCGTCTTATAATCACGAAAAAACGGTTATTGTTTGAATATCTAAAAAATAAAATCATGTACTGATGTTTAAAATTAGGAAGCGTTTAACCAAGTATTAAAACTAAATGTAAACCGTTCTTACCCAAAAACAAAAAGGAAATATCCTAGTTTGCTGAACTATTCCCAAAAGAAACGATGTACAATCGTTGTCCTTGGTTAAGACGTTCCTCCTTTGGGATATATTAGTGCATCTGTGCCATTTATTCTTTGCCGTCCGCGACTAATTTCCTGCGAACTATATGGCCCTTCAAGTTTTGTAATTGTGTAGGCCTGTTCTACACTTTCATTTGTTATCTAATTCTGCCTCGAACTTCTCGCTTTTTGTTTCGCTATCATCTTTTTCTCTATTTTGTACCTCGAACTCTTTTACATTTTCTTCACTCTTTTTTTTTACATTTCTCTCACTCTTTCTTTTTCTCTTTTCCTTTTCACTCACATTTCCTTTTCTTTCTCCTTCACTTTCAGCTTCTATATCTTAATATATCTCTTCTTTTTTCTCACCTGCTTGATTTCTCATTCGTTTTCTTATACTCTCTTCTTTCTCACTTTTATTTATCTTACGTTTACCCTCTCTTTCATCTTTTCCCTTGAAACTTTTTATAGTGAACCCATTTCTTTCCCTCTCTTTTTCATTAATTTATTTCTCTCTTTTCCTCATTCAGTGCCCGTCTCTATTTATCCTATCTTTCTCTCTCTCCTTCCAACTCCTTTCTTTTTCTCTTCCTTTTTCTTTTTAAATTATCTCCTTTTTAGCTTTTTTTCATTTACTTTTTCTCTATATTGTTTTGAACTCACTTCTCTCTCTTTCTCACTAGTCTCTTCTCTTTCCTTTTCAATATTCAACATATAGCCCTCTCTTTCTAATTACTCTTTTCTCTTTTTCTTTATTCTACTCGTATTTCTTTCTTTTTCTTTTATTCTTTTTTCCTTCACTTCCTTTGTATCTTTTTCGATCTTTCTTCTCTTCTTCTTTTTCTCTCTTTCATTTATTCTTTTTTCTACTCTTTCTCTATTTATACCTTTTCTCTTTTCTTTTTATAATGCACCAATTCACTTGTTTCATTCTTAATCTTTGTCTTTTTTTATCCTCACTTCTTCCTCTCCCTCACCCTCTCTCTCTCTCTCTCTCTCTGTCTCTCTCTCTCTCTGTCTTTCCGATTTACCCTTTCTTCTTCTCCTTTTTCTGGCTTCTTTCCGTCATCCTCTTTCATAGTTTCGTCATCATTGATATTTTTAACCTTTTTTTACTCTTTTCCATTATTTTTCTCAACTGTTCTTCTTCTTTCATTTTTCTTTTCTGTTGACTTTATTTTTTCTTTCTCTTTCTCTTTCCAACTTCTCTCCCTCTTTTTATCTCAGTCTTTTCTTATTTCTTTTTTCTTTTCGTCTTATCACCTACTCTGTTCTCTCTACTTCATTTGTCCTTTTTTTTTCTCTCTTTATTCTCTTCTTTTTTTTCTCGAAATCTGGAACTTTTCTTGCTTTTATTTCATTCTTTTCAAAATATTTTTTTTCTGTCTCACTTTATATATTTCTCTCTTTTGTTTCTTCCTTTAAAACATGACATGTCTTTTCACAAGTTCAACTCGTTTTCTCTTTTACAGTCTTTCTCAATTTCTATCCCTCTTTTCTTTCTTTTTCATTTTTTACATGTTTCTCCTTCCGATCTCACTCATTCTCTCTCTTTCCCATTCTCTCTCTCTCTCTCTCTCTCTCTCTCTCTCTAAATATATATATATATATATATATATATATATATATATATATATATATATATAAATTCTTTTCAGTGTATTTCTGTTTTGATTCCACCCACCTACACGCATTTACACTTTGATTACCGTCTAAGATGAAGAACACAACACGAGAAAAAAGAAAAAACAGCGCGTGCTCAAGTACGCATGCGTACTCCCGACAAATATTCAAAAGCCATTCTCGTTGTCTGTTTCGCAAAGAAAACACAAACGTTCGCCTCCCTATATAAGTTACTCTCTTTCTTTCATTAACTCTCTCTCACACTTTTTCTCAAGAGCGCTGCGCATGTCTGCACGCACGTACATGCGCGCAATTTTATAAACATTGAAACACAAATACAGCGGCAACGATCACGCCTACAGTTCTCGCTGCCCTTCTAACAAAATGTATTCTCCATGGAAGATCACGTTAGCCTGACGCGTGAGCTAAAATTCTCGCAAAGTCTCAATCAGAAAAAGATAGCAACAGAATGAAAAAATAGGTGTTTTTAAATACATGTTTGAGAACTTAGAAGAAAAAAAATGAAGGCTTTGAAAAGCTTAAGCAAATAAAAACATTGTTATAGAATTAAAGAAGCATCTTTCCCCACGATTGTGAGAATCGAGGGGGAGAAAATGTATGAACGAAGCAAAAAAGAATAAACAATATGGCGGCCAAAACTTTGGGGATTTTCTCCTTTCCTGTCCACAACAGCTAACCTAAAAAGAATTCGATTTTACAAACGATAGAAAGAAAAACTGTAGAATATACGTGCATAAATAATTTCTAGGTGTTTTGCTTCTTAGGTAGAATACTGTATTCATTCGTAAACAATGCAAGAAATTTTGTATCCGAATCGAAAACTAAGAATATGTTTGCATTATACATATGTTTTGACAATAACCGTTTATAGCACATACAACTCGGGGATGCTATTCCATATATGGAACCATTATCTTTTCATTCACTTTCAGTCAGTTATGGGCCATGCGTGATACACGCTTAGGCGATCATGTATCTTTCGATACATGATGACTAGGCAGATTTTTCCCGCAGTAGGTTGCCGTTTCTTTATGCGGTAGACCAGTTGCCATCAAGGCTATAGAACTCGGTCTATACTACTATTTACCCATAGCTGTGGGGGGGGGGGAGAAGACGAGGATTCATACCTTTCCCAAGGGTATTAGCACATAAGTGAATGTAATGAATTCGACTGGAATTCGAACTCGGCTCTCCGATTCCTCAATCCGAGCCGCTATCCATTAGCGACCTAAAATGTTCATATTGAAACGTTTATAGTTGACTTCTAAAATCCTCTTGAAGATGATACACTTAATATTTTTTTAATACATCACCGTTTTAATCATTCCATGAGTCTCCTATGTGCCGCATCCCTCCAGGACGTTGGCGATCATGGATCTCCACAATTTCTCTTCCATTGTATCTCTTAGTAAAGTTTGACTTTACTACTAAGCCTCGTTTTACTATCCATTTACACCAGCTCGTTAGGTAGGTTATGTGCTGGTTTCATTCTCTTCGTCTTACTTTCAACATGTTCTGTGAGTGTTAAATTTACCAAGCCTTCTTTCCTCATTAAATTTAACTGCCCCTTTCTAATGCAAGTATAAATCTACATGCTGTTTTCATTTTCTCTAAATCTTCACCATTGCTCAAACGTTAAGTCTTATCATCCTTCTGTAGAACAATATTTCGGCTGCCCCAGTTCTCTTCTTCTTCATCTTTGAGATTGTCCAGCATTCCCTGCCATATCGGAAGACCGATATTACATAACAGTTCAGTTCCCTTTTCTTTGTTTCTAATGAGATTTTCCTGTTTGTTAATACTTTGCTTCGCTTTTAGAAGGCATCTTTTTCTTCCACTAAATAAAGTATATTCATGCTTTTCAATTCCAAGACATTTGAGAAGGATCCTCTCTCTCGCACACACACACACACACACTCTCCCTCTATCTTTCTCTTGATTTCTCTATATATATATATATATATATATATATATATATATATATATATATATATATATATATATAAGCAAATATAAATATATATCCGACAGAATGAAGAAAAATTTAAAAAAAAAACAAACAAAAATAAATGCAAATGGTTTAAAATGAATGAAATGTCGACGTCTGACGTTTCAGTTTAATAAACCTTTTTCAAGACAATATTCATTAAAATACAATTCAGTTCAATTTGATAAAGACGATGGACATAAACAACAAGTCTTATCCAAAACAGATAACTGAAAATTTTAAAATGATCAGCTTTCCGTTTAGCATGGTCACGTTGTTGTCACATGGGCGACGCTTTCAAAACTTATTCCTAAAAGTTTTTGATTATTTTGAATGAAAAAGAAAATGAAAAAAAGCGTCGCCCATGTGACGACAACGTGACCATGCTAAACGGAAAGCTGATCATTTTAAAAATTTTCAGTTATCTGTTTTGGATAAGACTTGTTGTTTATGTCCATCGTCTTTGTCAAATTGAACTGAATTGTATTTTAATGAATATTGTCTTGAAAAAGGTTTATTAAACCGAAACGTCAAACGTCGACATTTCATTCATTTTAAACAACATAATTGCATTTAAGGATTTTGTTTGTTTTTTCCAAATTTTTCTTTATATATATATATATATATATATATATATATATATATATATATATATATATATATAACCTTCTACTTTTGAGTGGCTCATGGTCCTTGTGCTTGTGTTAAAGGTAGCGTAAAATCCAAGAAATCCAGGATTAATCTACTTTGTAAATGGACGTGGGAAGATGCACTGGAAAAACAAAGTATTCTAGAAAGGCAAATATTGCTTGACAAAATGAAGAAACTGTGGAGAACCATTATATATATATATATATATATATATATATAATTATTTATATATTATATGCGCGGTACTTATGAGAAAGCGCTCAATATCAATTCATGGGAAAAGTTTAATGAAATTCAACCAACAGCAACGCTAAATATTTGATTAATAAATATCGAATATTTCTAAAAATGAAACAGCTTACCTCTGGCTTTACCATTAGCATTTAGATTTTTTTCACTCAGTACAAAATCCAACAATTCTACTTAGAGGGTTAATCACTGTGATTGTTGTATTAAAGACATAGATGGACTTAAATGTATCGTATGAGGATATGTAGAATAGATAGCAGTTGACCTGAGACATGAAGAATTTAAGATTTTAGTGAGAAGAGAAACATGATCTTACTAAAAAAATACGAAAAACATAAGGATGATTCGACCGTGCGACATTAAGGGTCATAAATGCAAAGGTATGAACTGATGGAACTTCATTGCTGCTGTCGGCACGCGCTCGCATCTGAACATCGGGATCGTCATCCTCTCTCCCTATTCTCTTTCCCCCTAGTGGCAGTGGCGGAGATGGCTGTTAATCAAACAGCGTTTAACGAGGCCATTCGGGTGGATTTGACTTTAGCGGAAAACGGTACGGAGATATCCACACATTTTGGCCAGAAGCGCCTCCACGCGACTCAAACTTGGCTGCATCGGTCTGGTTGAATTAAGCCTAAGAATATGGCCCGCGTCGGAATATTTTCATAGAAATAGCGATAGAGTAGCCATAGGCTTGCGACGTTTCGACTGTAGTAAAAGAGATGCCGTGCTCAAATTAATTCATTACCTACAAGTCTTTAATTATTTTTTTTTAAAAGTAAAAAACAAGGGACGCTTATACACATAAATGTTATCGTCTACCCAAACACGTTAAATACAAAATAAAAAATAATGTCGGATTGAAAATAAAATCAAAGAATTCATGAGAAATTAAAATATGTGTGTGTATGTCTATATTTCTGAGACAACGCTTCGGTCTTTCAGTATCTGTCTATATTTCTGAGATGAGGTATTATGTACACTCTTTATATTATTCGGACTATTGACCTCATCTTTGTCACCAAGGACACATGGTACAGTGGATAAAGGCGATGGTTAGATCCAGTGACAGGACCCAAAAAGTGTGAGTTCAATACCCGGTTAAGGCAGCGGAGAACTTAGCGAGGGGAATTAACAGGAGATAACTAATAACTGACATCCATCAAACATGGCACGTGGAACTAGAACAGTCTACCCCAGTGAGCGAAATAAAGGGTTCAGTTCGACATTGCAACCACCTGGAAAAAGGCCGAAACGTAGGAATAAATATGGCGACAAAGTTGAGGACAATAGTCCGAATGATGTAAATAGTGTGTGTGTGTTTGTATGTGTGTCTGTGTGCACGCGAGTGTGCGTGTGGGTGAATGGATGTGTGTGTGTGTGTGTGTGTGTGTGTGTGTGTGTGTGTGTGTGTGTGTGTGAGAGAGAGAGAGAGAGAGAACCTGTATGCGCGCGCGTAAGCGTGTGTGGGTGGATGGATGTGTAGGAGCATGTGTGAAAGGTTTGTGAAAAATTATCACTTTTATATAGAAGAAATTAAAGATAAAATTCAAGAATCTTGTCATATTTAAAGTTTGGTCTTATTTGGGCAAATGGGTTGACCCGACAACTTTTCAGAATCGCTTTGGGCATGTATTCATTCATTTATTTATTAAAGCATGCATCAATGAATTTAACTGACAAGATTTTTCACTTCCAATTTTAATAAATCGTTTAAATCAGCGTTCCAGTCATCGTCTGTTTCATTAGAAATATTGAAGTGACAAATCTTGTCAGTTAAATTCCTCAAAACACGTTTCAATGCGTACTCAATGCCTAAGTACACATTATTTAAATAACGAACACTTTCGCATACCTAAATAAATACACGGACGTGTCTGTGTGTAAATGTATGGTTGTTCTAGGCCGTTTGCCAAGGGAAATATCACCATTCTCCCTCTTACCTCTGAAGAAATTTATTTTTGTGTAGTTTCAAATGTATCTCCAACGACTTGAGGAATTTTTACATTCAATAAAAGCAGATCAGGTATTTAAAGAATTCAACGCAACTGAACCTCTTGCACT